GCAAAAGTTAAATCAATACAACTGGTATGACCATTACTACTATTGAAGTGAGTAGGTTGATTTGAATTAAGGAGAATTAAATTGTTACTTAAGTCCAACCAATCAGCTATAATTTTACCTCTCTGATCGCAGTGATTCGAACCCCAATGAAAATGATGACTATTAAAGTCTCCCAGCAATACGAAGGGCAATGGAAGCTGATTAACTAAGTTATTCAAATCATTTTCACTAAAGGAATAGCTATTGGGTAAATATATATTACAGATAGTTAAAGTTAGAGGGAATTTAATTTTTACAGCTATTACTTCTAAGGAGCTATTGACTTTAATAATTTCAGGAAGTGTGTGAGGCTTTACATACGTAGCTACACCACCACTAGCTATACTGCTGTGTGTGCGGTTTTTATAAAACCTTTCGTAATTTTTTAACTTAGCACAATAGTTATTTTTAAAATTCGTTTCTTGTATACAAAAGCATAATGGGTCCACATCATTTAGTATTATTTTTATGCTTTCAAATCGGGCGTGGAAACCATTTACATTCCACTGCAATATGTTCATTACGAATCTAAGTAGTTTAAATGAATATACGATAATTAAAGTTAAAGGGAAATAAAAGTATACTAAATATATATAAGTAAATATAAAAACAAAAAAATTAAGGGTTGTTACTTGTAGACTCTTCCTTTGAAAAAAGGTCTTGTAGTTTTCTGGTAAATCTTGAACATCTGTTTTTTAAGGTCTTATTCATTTTGGGGTGAAGAAATACACACATTTTGATTAACTCAGGAATGTCATCTGTGTAGTCCTTGACGATTTCTTGAATATTTTGCTTATTTCGTGATGTATCTAAAAGGCTTATAAACTGATTTAATGTTAGAGGAAGGTGAGGTTTTGAATCTTTTATTTCAATTTCAATGTCATTCCAAACTTGATCTTCAGTCCTATTGTCGAGAGTTTTCTTTTTCTTTTTAATATATTTGTTAACTGGTATTTCTTCTAGGGAGTAGCTGCTGTCAGTATCGTCTGCGAAGTCGCTGGGTTGTGGAGACTCTTCTATAGGAGTATTATTTTGGTTAAGTTCTGATTGCGATGGTTCTGATGCGGTATTTGAATGAATTCGTTTAATGCCTTTATTAGTTTCTTGAGCGTTATCTGGTAATTTAGTGTTTTGTATCTGTGGTTTGATGAATTCAATGGGAGGGTAGTCTGAAGATTCGATTGTATCATGAGTCGAGTTATTTTGATATTGAGTAGACTCCTGTTGCTGGATAGCTTGAGGACAGTATTTTGCCAAATGACCAATACCATTGCACACAAAACATTTCATGGATTGATTTGTTAAGTAGATCCAATAGTTAGTATCTTCATAATTAATTTGCATTGATTCCGGAAGCCTTTTTTCATCCTCAGGTGAAACGTACAATTGTCGTCGGAAACTCATAATATGAGAAAAGCCTGGGTCCGAAATGCCTACCCTCATGTACGTAATGGGAGACAATAATTTTACATTTATTTGCTTCAATTTTTCTTCTATTACTTCATGCGGAATGACAGGGCAAACATTCGATAACACTATTCGTTTGTTCCTAGTTATTAACGGTCTAATTTCTAATAGATTATCTTTTACTTTGAGTTTTTTTACCTTATCAATCAATTCGTCAGCAGATTGTTTGGAGTCCAAATACACACATATTCTTGAGTTGGCTATACGGGATATAAAACGGATGGACGATGGTTTGATGACAGTGGAAAGTGATAATAAGTAATCTCGTAGCATAATTCCGTCGATAGAATCAATTACAATTGCTTGATCTTTCTTTGGGTGAATAGTTTTAGAGGTAACGTTGGCATAACTTGCGGTGGGGGTACTTGTAAATTTTTCCATGGTGGTTTAGGGGGCCCCTGATCCCAGGAGCACCCTTATAATAATAACTTAACTAATAATCAGTACGTTTGAACACTAAAAATACTGTTTAATAAATAATTACTCGCGGCGACTTGGCGCATTTATCGGAATGCGATAAGACGCGTGGACCGGACAGCTGTCGCTGAGTGACTCGGACAACACTTTGTGTGATCCACAAATTGTTGTTCTGAGTCTGGTTGTTCTTTGTGTCCGTTTCATGTATGTTTGTAAAGTCCCCCGCGACACAGGATATAGTCCTAATGCGTAAGGTGTCCCCAAAAAAAAAGAAACATATTTAAGTAACTTTAATTAACATGATGCAATCGTAAAAACAATTACGAATTTGATTATTTCAAGCCTATCTTTTCATAACATTATTTTAAACAAAGTTCATAGAGTATATTATTTACACATAAATATTTCGCCAGTTGTTAAGTGAACACTGTACAGGTGAATGCAGAAAGATAGTTTGGAGATGCCTGTGAGAAACTCACTTGCCAAAAAATGATTGTCAGCGCCATGAAATGGTGACGTAATCTTTTTTAACCTACTATACAAAAGGAGGAGATTCTCAATTCGTTTTTTTTGTGTTTCTACAGAACTCCGTCATTTTTGAACCGATTTGTATTTTTTTTGGATAATATTTAATTTGGTTACATCCTATGCAAAGTCGAAGAAAAATACTAAGGCAGTAAATTAAAGAGCAAAAGAAACAGTTTATTACAATTCACAATGATATACGCGAATTTGATTTAGTAATATTTTTTTAAAGTTAATTATATTGAGATTAAAACTTATCAAAATAAAAGTAAATAACAAAAGCACACCACTTGTGAAGGCCTAAATAATCCCGAGAAAATATAAAATTCAGTACAATTTGTGTTTTGTGTTCCATAAAATTTTAACAATTAAATTGAAAATCGATATTATGACGTCTGTTGGGACTGGTAGTCAATGACCTATTTAATAAATGAATCACCATGATTTATTCCAATTAAAAGTTTTTATTATTAGTGTAGACTGCCGATATTTATACCGATGCCAATGGCCACTCGATGGCATCTCAATAGCGTGTCAGTGGTATGACAGTGGCTTGGCGTGAACATAAAATAGCAGAATTGAGGCCCAGGTGACCTGCCTGATCAGGAGCTGGGCCTCCGGTAACTTCACTCACTCGGGGAAACACAACGAAATAATTGTCCTATGAGGCCGTGCTGTCACTTCTGTGAAATGGTTGTCATATGCTGAATCAACCACATCAGGCTTTCTCATGGTATTTTCTAGTTATCATTATTTTCCAAGTAGTGCCACACGGTTTCCGTATGGGCTTTTATTTAACTTGCAATGCATTTTAAATTTCCATTGCCCATTATAACTGGTGGAATTGAAACTATTTTAGACGTTGATGTTGTCCTGCGTAGTTTGCTCCCTTAGTCGGCTCCTACGACACCAGCGGGATAAACAGGGTTAGTGAGACTGTATTCCTAATCCGTCACCACACGAATAAACATCTTCTTACCATCTTTTCCTATAAATCCTATTTTAAACTCCAATTTTACCCCTCTAATTCCTTAAGTGCCTGTTGACTTGAATAGATCTGTTACGTAAATGGAAAAAAAATTAAGTTAGCAAAGTGTCTATTTAATACATTTCCTTTCACTTGTATTTGTGTATCACTGTATGTTACATACATATTGTTTAATTTCTTTCATTATTTTAAAAACAAATTATTTTATTTTCTACCTTTGTCTCAAGAAGACACCAAACTTATAAAATATTTAACTCAGCACAAACAAAAGGAACCAAAAGGTAAATATTATCCTCTTATTTTCTAAAAGTTTAATGATATTTATAACATTGTTGTATTGAGAGTAAGGTTCTTGTCTGTTTAATATGCCTTTAGTTAGCGTATAAATAAAATGCGGGTGTAGGTCAGTTTTTCAACTGTTTGTGAGAAATAATCATGACAAAATGCAAACATGTAGATACATTTACCTACATAATACATATCTCAACATACCGCTCACCAAAGGACGTAGTCCTTCACTAAAGAATAACGTTAGAAAGAACAAAGGAAAACCTTTGTTCTTTCTTAGTATTCTTCAATAAACTTTGATAACTATTGATACGAATTCTAATAGTCTTCTAAGCATTGTAGTCTCGCTTCTGTATAACTATTGTAATTCTTGACTTAGGTGACTTTTTAAAATTTTGTTTTGGTTTTTACGATACTTTTCGAGAAATGTTCTAAAAGTTCCAATTGTTATTCAACGGACTCCATAATGAAAGTTAATATTATGTGTTTAAAACGTTCACTTCGTTATTGTAACCACAGGAATGCACAATACACCATATAACTGCGTCTCGTCGTCTATTGTCTATTGTATGAATACTTATAGAAAAAACTTCTCGGCAACGATAGCTTATCTCCGACCAACTAGTTCTTTTAAATTGTATTCGGCTCGGAATGGACCATGTCGTATTAAGAATAAGGTTGATTCTTGTCTGTTTAACATGCCTTTAGTTAGCTTATAAATAAAATGAGGGTGTGGTTCACAAGTTCTGTACTGCAGCTGTTTGTGAGAAATAATCATAACAAAATGCAAACATGTAGACACATCTACCTACATAATACATATCTCAACAAATATAAATATCGAAAGACATACGCTAGTTAAACTTCTGGACATATATTTTTTGAGATTTGTGAACTGAATTTATATTTATGCAAAACTCAATTATCAATGCGACTTGGTCACCGCGACCCCAGGCAGTCAGGCGGGCGGCGGAGCGGGGGCAGCATTCACGATGTGTGCTCGACGCTGAATGCACGTCGCGCGTATTCGCGAGTGAATCATATTTTAGTCAGTCTTATATGATATACATTAAGTCTATATTCCTATTAAAGTAATCTCTTTAAAATTTAACATAGGCAGTCTGAACTGTTTGTTGTGAATATTGAAGACATTTTCAAACACAAACTCTGGTTTAACAAGCCGTGATATTATTGTGTTATTAGTTGATGGTATATTTATATTGTTGAACTAAGAATTTGTCGGCCTTATACGAACTGATAAGTGAACGAAACAAAAATGGTTAACTATTTTATTTACGCGACCGACGATTCCGGTTCCACCAATAGAAGTGAATACTTTAATAGCAAAGGGTTGGAGACGCTGAAGAACTTCAAGGAAGAAGTCAAGGCTTTACAAAATGATGCAGGGGGAAGTAACAAAGATGACAGTATAGTGTACCTTCACTGGAGCCACCGATGCGCCAAAATGGAAGAAGATCAGGTGGAGTTAAGATACAGGGAGCAAGATGGAGGTGGTACTGATACATTACCACACACAGTGCTCGACTGGATGGATGAAAATTTAACAGAGAATGATACAATTCAGTTACTGTACGTAGTCACAGATGGCGCTGTCGATCCCTTTGACATCAGACCCATCGATCCTAATATGAAAATTGATAATGTTGTATTCTACGCGTTTAATTCAGACATTAATAGAATAGATATGTCTGTGGCGTCCATGTTTATTTGTAACAATAAGCGTTACATTGTGCATTGTAACGAAGAGCTGGTAGATGATACAGATCTATCGAATCCTTTCGATTACGACCAAATAACTGTCGAAACGTTCCATGAGAAAAAGGAAGAATTGAAGTCATATATTAAATTACAGTTCCTGAATAAATCGTCCTCAGATCGTTTGGCGTTGGAGGAAATTAAAAAGCTCTAAAGTTTACAAACACGTTTGTGCAACGAGTTACAAGACGACAAAGACGAACCTATCACTCCAGCAAAGATAGACCTAAACGTGAAAGACAAGGAGACCTTCATAAATCTATTTAAGAATACCAAGTTTCATAAAACACTGACACAACCCAAAAAATACGACGAGAAACAAAGAATTGCCAGTTGCATCAACACTTTAGTGAACTATATAAATAACGACCACAAGTCTTTCAAATTTGATAACTTGAAGTTTAACAATAAATTTAGTCTAGAAACGGGGGAAGAGGATGTCGCCGATGTTTTCTATAGCAACGTGGAAGAGATTGCATTCCCTGATATAATTTTGGACAACGAGAGCGGAGTCCCTGTCATTTTATTGACGCACTACAATTTCATGGAAAAGGTTTTATTTAAGAAAGGCCGAAAGATCCCAGAGCGCTTCGAGAAATACAATACGCCATGTCCTTCCGAGAAGGCACGCGCCCGCGTGACACGACTTGTTGAAGCAGCGCGACTAACCAACATGTCACATTTCTCTCGGTTGCGGAAAACTGTGGATTGCCCATTGATTCTATTAAATGATCCAGACTTCAAAGATTCCATTGAATACTATTACAATTTAGAATCATTCAAGGGTTTGATGCAACATGGAACACAGACAGGGCCACGCACACGACGGGCGTTCACAGGCGCCATTGTGCCGCTTGAAGAGTTCGACGATTACAATGACTATATATTATCTTGCACATATTTCGCGAGTAGACGAGTGCCTTACAACAAAGGATTATTATATTACGTGGTATACAAAACTTGTGAAAAACTGCAATACATAGAACCGAATGTTGTTGAATATCTGAAGGGATATGTTATAAAACGTATAGCTAAAACTAAATGTTTCTTGGGTCTGAGTAAAATGTCAATAGACGATCCGTTGATACGAGTCGATCTGACCACGGCCCTGTGGTATTGTGCCGAGTTGTCCTCGATATTATTCAAAAACGATCCAAAACATTTCAGGAAAGAAAAAATGCGTATGTATAGTCATTATTCAGAATATATGAAGGAGATCCTTGAATGGTTCCAATATGATGTAGATACGAAATCGGTTGACCTACGAGCGGATATATTTAGAAATGTAAATAGACTGAAACGTATAGGACGACGTGAAGATAAAATTAGGCATATTTTAGAACAAATATTTAAGAAGGAAGACAGGATTTTAGTATCCGAGATGGTGAACCCAGATAACATCTACAAGCTGAAATATTTACAGCTGGACCATAACAAAGTGATCGATGAGAGTCTGTTGTCTGCTGAAGTTGATATTAACAAGTTTGCACATTTCATGGATTACGTTGAGACGACATTCGTGCCGGTGTGCGAACAGACTATGAGACCTCACTTTGTTACAGAAGACAACAAATCTTACTACGAACAAGTGGTGACAAAAGCAAGAAGAGTTGTAATACAAGATGGAAAACTTACATGGGAACCTGTGGAGCAATTGGATTTCACACGAATTCTATCCACGAATAAATTATTTATATCGAACATTAAAAAATTCTCAAAATACCCCACAATTGGACAATTTAAATGTTACGTGTTGAAAAAGATGAAATATTTCAGAGGGAAACCAGTTGTTTTCGCAACAAATACGATGGAGACTATAGAAAAAACCCATGCGGCGTATAAAAAGACCCGCACTAGTATAAACAAATTTAAACAAATATCAAACTCTTCAGCGAATAGGGCAGTCCGTATAGAGAAAGAGAATCCGTTTGACTTAACTGAAGAAGAAATACCGGATTTTGTTAAAAAGTCGGAGAGCTATATCGTGAAGAAAGAGTTGTCAGAGGCAGGTCCTTCTGGTCAGCAGTCGACTGACGTACCTCCTGATCTTCCGCAAGCACAGAAACCTGAAAAGAGGAAATCAAAAACGACAAACGCTCAGAAGCCAAAGAAAAAAATTCTATAAGATTTTGTGTGATTGTTGTTTATGTGTTTTCTACTCAATAAATATTTTTTAACATGCTCATGTAGTCTTATTAAATATTTAATAAAATTGTGTTTACACGCTTGTGTGTAAATAGACACAGGCGTGTAAACACAATTTTATATAATTTTCACAATTTTCTTTTTTTTTCTAATACTAAATACATACCTAATATAAATATATTAGGTATGTATTTAGGACGCAATGTGAAGCAGTGCAAAGACTTTTGGTTGTTGACTTTTGTTCGGGCGTGGCATAACATGGTCGGCTGCCCTTTTTTTATTCTGTGCGTCCTCTCGGAGTCCTCTCGGATACCACCCACCGGTGGATTGGTTATGTCGGACTCGAACCGACTAAAAACCGCTCGTCGTCTAGGGTACCAGTAGCCGGGGAACCATGTATACTCTAGAAAAGAAATCCCTGGCACCCAGACGTACCTCGGGGCATCTACGGCGTGTAGAGGACCCCCTCCTGTGTGGGAACCCCATGTTCACTTTATGCCCTTGTGGCCCTTTGAGCTCCAGAAAGGGCGAACGCGCTCCGCATCGCGTCTCACCGCCACCCTGGCTTGCTTCTGCTATAGTGACAGATAGCCTCACCTGTCACCCCCAGGCCTGCGCTTATGGAGGACGAAGGTTGTTCTGCGACCTAAGGCGCCTGAGTCGTCTGCGGTACGTGGTCCGGCCCGTTCCCGGGCCTTATGGCTCGGAAGAGTTCTATACCTCTCGCGGTCCCACTCCACCATCTCCTTCGCAAGGATAACTTGCCTGTAGAAGGCGACGGCGGAGTTCCACGCACTCTCACTGCGTACGACGGCGGCAATCATGTTACCGACAATTTCCACTCCGATGGCCGCCACGAGGCCAGGCCTTTGCTCCACCTTTTTTTTTTTCAAGTGTGGAAACCCCCTTGGACCGTCACCCCACCGTGGTTTGCGGCGGGGTGGTGTGTCGGAATCTGACCGACTAAAACCACACGGTGTGCCACTCTACGCCGGGAACTGCTCTTATTAAGACATCTGGACCCCTCCTAGCGCCTGCCCTAGCAACACGAACGGGTGGTGCCCGCCCCGTTGCACGCCGGGCATTCTGCCAGCGTTTGCAGCGCTGTGTTCACGATCCAGCCATCGCAGTGGCGGCATTTAGGCGTTGGTACCGTGCGGATTAGACCACCTGCGTCAGCCGGTAAGAGAGAGTTTCGTGATGCCTCTCGAGCCAAACCCCCATAACGGGTCTTACCACCGCAATAACAGCGTGCCCGGCGCTCGCTCTCGCCCACTCCTCTACGAGGACTTAGCGGAGTTGGTATTGGCCCAACTCCCGCGCTTCTTGCGCCACTGGTACAGAGCCGCAAGGGCTCTCGCCTCCAGGTCTCACGGTGGCGTTCCGGCCAGAAGACTTGCCGCCTGAAAGGAGATTGTGCGGTAACCCCTTTTGACCCTAATGGCCAGCACTTGCTCTAACCAACTCCCCAAGTTGGCTGGAGCAGCCCTCGGAAATGATGCCCGAAGTCCCATCGATGGTGGGCCGCCTGTGTGTCGTCAACCCTACATGGAAATGTATTCGCCTTCAGACGGGACAAAGGAAAAAGTTAGGCAGGCCATTTAAATTCCGATAAGATACTCGGACCAGGGCTTTTGTAACAGAAATGTTGCGTCTCAACATAATTCTTCCCAGTTTCAATAAGTGCATCAAACCACCACAGTTGTTCGCATCAGCAGGAATAACGTTTGAAGGTGGTCGATTGCCGTAGGTAGGTAGGTGCTACATGAAGTATATAAGTATAAGTGCTATATGAAGTAGTTCAACCTACTACGCACCTATGATTATTTATACTAAAAATGGAAAAAAAAAACAAATAAAAAAAAATTGAATTGATTAAAAAAAAACATCAAACAAAAACTCCCTACCAAAAAACACAAAAAAGCGAAAAAAAAACTTAATTATTAATATTATGACGGGTTATAATGACGGGCCTGTTGGTCTAGTGGTTAGTGACCCTAACTGCTAAACCGGAGGTCGTGGGTTTGATTCCCACCCAGGACAAATATTTTTGTGATGAGCACGATCGTTTGTTCTGTGTCTGGGTGTAATTTTTCTAAAATATGTGTGTATTTAGAAATATATAAGTATGTTTATCAGCGGTTTGGTTAAAATAGCACAGGCTCTGCCTAGTTTGGAATCAGACGGCCGTGTGTGAGATGTGTGAAATTATTATTATTATTAAAAAATGTGCGTATTTTTCTAACTAATTAAATAAAAATCTTTACCTAGTAACTTAAACTTACCTATTCTCAATAAAATTCTTAATGAAACTATAATATAGTATGTAACATATAATATTATAGACCATAGACCCCTCACGCCGTTTTTTTGGGTTCATTTACTTTCATTTATTTTATAATAGCTACATCTAGTTTTAAATTAAATAACAATGAAATTGTCTCATACCTTTTAAGTGCCACTCAATTGCGTATTATGTTTTCCTATATATTATTAGTATTTACAAGAAACTACAGATGGCAGTATATTATTGTTTTGTTCATCAGCTCGCCATCCGTAATGTTTTGAAGGCAGATATAACATTTGTTAGTTTACTGACCTCTTAGACCTATTAACGTAATGTACAAAACGTTTGCAGAAGACTACAACGTTGAGAAGTATGAGACTAAGAATTGTAATAGTCTAATTACATTCCTGGCTTACCGAGCTTTTGTTCTGGCTCTGGACCAAAAGCTAGGCACCCAACGAAACATACATTATCATACATCGGTGATGAGGTAATGTCATAAGGACTAACGATTTATTTCTTCGACTTTCCTAGGTACGTCATATGTGACATATAAGGATTTTTTCCCCATAACTACTAGGTAGTTGTAAAACCCCATGGTTCAGTAACAAATTATAAAAAGCGATATAAATTCTAAGTGCCCTTTTTGTTTAAAAAAACCTCTTGAGAATCATGTCTTGTTTTTATACATAAGAAAAGAGGAACTTGGAATATTCTTAGTTTCCCGGAGGTTTCTTCAAAAATTTAAATAACCCTTTTATTATTTCTCATTTTTATGCAATTTTTACAATATTTATTTACGTGAAATAACATCGATTTATCAAATTTATTAATTAATCATCAAATTTACAACAAATTTATGCTTTTTTTATTGTTTTTTATGATTCTACTTCTATATTGAATATTGTAGTATTGATTGGTAAGCAATAGTACATTTAAATATATTTTATTAGTAAGAACCCCTCGGTAGGGTAACGGTCTCCTCCGTTTATGACAAAAAAAAATCTGTCTTTCGCTTTTGATTTTCACTCGTGTCTGTTATATCTTTGATGTCGTCGCTCCATCTTCTGTATGGATCGTTCGGGTGCATATACTTGGATAATAGTGGTTGGTGTATTGCTCCAGTTCTCACGTCGTATGTGCTGATTTAAATGTTGTTTGTTTTTCTTATTGTTAAAAGTGGCTTCCTGATGCGTTGGAGGGTTGCAGACAAGAGAAGAATCGATTTCTGAAAACTAGAGGGGGCTTTATTGGTGGCTAGAAGCTAGATGTAGTAGTATTTTTTATAATGTTTTTGTGAGTTTTTCGAAATCATTTCTTTGTCTTATAAAGGCTGTAAAGTTATTCTTTTTCAGGGCTTGATTTCCGTGGTTTGTTCCATCTTGCTTTGGGGAAATGTCTAGATTACGTTTCTTTGGTTTTTGTTGTCTAATATGGCTTTCTTTGCGCCTATGGTTATTTAAATTATTATTTTGTCTTATTATTGCTTTTTTGCCTTCTGTTTTACATTTTAATAATTCTGTTTGTAGTTGTTTGCTCTTCTCTAAAACTTTTTGTGGGTAATTTTTCTTGTTTTGTAATAATGCATTTTTTCCCCCCATCGTTGTGCAGGTTGCTGTAACGGGTCTAGTTTGTTCCCTATTCGATTCTCTGATACAATTTCGTTCCGTTCACAAGATTTGATTATACTTGTTCGTGCAATTTGTTCCGATATTAATAATAATATAATTCTGTTCCAATTCTTTTAAATTTTCGGTGATGTTTTTGTCCATAGTAATTATACTGTTCGTAATATTTGTCTCCATTTCCTTTCTTTCTCTATTTGCTCGCTAATAAAATAAATTATAAATAACCGTCGTTCGTGTGGTGAATGATTAAGAATACGGAGTGTCACCACCGCTATTCATCCCGTAGGAGTCGTAAGAGCCGACTAAGGGAACAAACTGCACAGGACAACAGCACTGCAAAAAGAAGGAAAACTTCAAACAAACCCTTTACCAACCCATCTGGCCAGCGTGGTATAGTAGGCCAAAACCTCCTTTCTAAGGAGAGGCCTATGTCCAGCCGTGGACTATTATAGGCTGTTCATGTGATACCCCTATATTAATGCTGGCCAGACGTTTTGACTACATATATAGTCAACCCGTCTGCCAGCGTGGTATAGTAGGGCAAACTCCTTCCTAAGAGAGAAATCGACTGAGTAAGGTTACCGGGCTACCGAGATTTTTGCTTTCTGTTGTCATTTTTGATACTTTTCTTTGTGTATGTTTTGTATAAACATGTTGGATAATAATAAGCAGCTGCTCCCTGTGCCAGATATAAATATCTAATCGTACGTATGTAACTATACGTTTATTGATCATTTGTTTTTGTTGTTCAGCTCAGTATTCGTTGGTTTGCACTAATTTATATTTATTTACGTTAGTTTCAAGCTTACTATATCCTTCAGATCTTAGCACTTTTTACTATTTTAATTTTCACTTTTATCAAGGAGCTAACAAGAAAACCTCGGAACTTTCTTGCTAACACTTAAATAGTTCTAAAAGTAATAAAAAAAGTGTTCGCTGTTCTCGTGGCCCCAGCCATGAATAGGTTACAATTGTGAGATTAAGTTCATTTGCAATGTAAATTAGATGATAATGGTCAGACACGGGTACACAGAGCGTCCAACAATAAATAAATTACAAGAAAATAGTAAGACCTGACTCATCTCACACACAGCCGTCAATCAATCAATCAATCAATCAATCAATCAATCAATCAGTTTATTTTCATTGCGAACATGGGTTTACAATTAGGTGTTACAGTTATAATATTTTTTTCTGCCACATTCTACCTTTAGGCATGCAATAAGATAACATTAATAGCGAGTTGGGCTTATTTAATACATCATACGAGGTCAGAATTCTATTTTATGTCAATATCAATTAAAATAACAATTACAATTATATTATTAAAAAAATGAAAAATGTCATAATCATAATAAACAATGTATCACATTTATTAAAAAAGTGTATTAATAGAGGGTATGGTGTAGTTATTAAAAAACATGCATTCTATTATATTTTCTCCGTTAAAAACTCAGTTACAGAATAGTATGCTTTCATTTCTAAAAATTCTTTTAACTTGCTCTTGAATGCACTTATGCTCAAGTTTTTCCATTGTTGCGGTAAATGGTTATAAATTACTGGAGCCATACAGAAAACACTTCTACGCATAAGCACAGTTTTTGCTTGGAGTAGGCGCAGTCTACTATTATCACGCCTGTTCCGTGTAACCGTATCCTCAAGCCGCGGAAATAAGCCTGGATTTGTTTTAACAAACATTGACATTTCCAAAATATAAATGCTTGGCAACGTCAATACTTTATACCTCTGAAAGTAAGTTTTACAGCTATCACTTGTTTTTAGTTTAAACATTGACCGTATGCATCTCTTTTGACACTTAAAAGCAATTAATGTATCTGTAGAGTTACCCCAGAAAATGATGCCGTAGCGTAAATTTGAGGCAACTAAACCGTAGTATGCGGTCATCACTGTTTCTGTATTGACGATTGACGTTAACGTATGCAAAGCGTATGCAGAACTACATAATTTTTTGCAAAGCGTCTCTATATGTGATTTCCAATCTAGTTTTTTATCTATCGTTAACCCGAGGAACTTCGAAGTCGTTACATTTTCTATACTATGATTGTCAATGTTTATATTTTGGTATATATAACTGATTGGAGCGATCCGTTGACTGAAATGTATAATCTTAGTTTTATTTAAATTGATTTTTAAATTGTTAATGTCAAGCCAGTTTATTATGGATGTCAAGGAATTCGTAATGTCATATTTATATTGAGTTATATCATTATTACAAGATATAGTAATTGTGCTATCATCTGCGAAAAGCGTTACAGTATTTTTTGTACATTTTGGAAGGTCATTAATATATAATATAAAAAGCAAAGGTCCCATTACGCTCCCCTGAGGGACACCGTACAAAACTTTCCGCTCATCTGAAAGATATAGCTCCTCTCGTTTAGTAGTGGGGTTTATTATTGCTATTTCTGTACGTTGTTTTCTGTTCTCCAAATACGATTCGAATAACTTTAGGACATTACCTCTCACTCCATAGGCATATAGTTTTCTAATTAATATATCATGTTTTACATAATCAAATGCCTGTGTCATATCACAAAATATTGAGCATACAGGTGTTCGTTTGTCTACTTTCATCATAACTTCATGGAGAAAGTTGAAAATTGCCAAATTCAAGGTTTTGTTTTTACGAAATCCATTTTGTTCATTGCACAATAGATTATTTTTTTCCAGATATAGGTACAGTTGCGTATGTATGAATTTCTCAAATATTTTGGAGAATATGGGAATTAAAGAAATAGGCCTATAATACTCCATAAGCTCCCTATCCTGTTTCTTAAACACTGGTTTTACAATTGACTGTTTAAGGGCATCAGGAAAAATACCCGAGGTTATACATAGGTTCATAATGTGACACAGATGACCGCTTATTTCATGTGCTACAACTTTAATGACCTTAGTAGTTATTCCATCATATCCAACGCTGTTCGTGTTTTTAAGCTTATGAATTATACTTAATATGTCTTGCGGTACACATGGGGACATGAACATAGACTTGCTTGTACTTAAAATGGGTGGGGTGGTTTTTAGAGACGTTGTTTTAGGCTGTATTTTATCGATAAAATAGTTATTAAATTCATTCGATATTTGTATTGGATTCGTAATAATAGTGTCATTTATTTTTAATCTATTTATCAAAGATTTTGGTAAATTTAATTTCGCCTGATTAATAATTTGCCATGTCGTTTTATTTTTATTCCTAGAATTATTAATTTTGTAATCATTTTGTGCTCGTTGAGTTAGAAACATAATTCTTTTTAATAATTTTGAATATGATTTGAAGCGGGATTTATTTTCTGGGTTTGGCTTTAATCTTTGTAGCCATAGTAACTGCCTTTTCTTTTTGTTACATTTTTTTATACCACTTGATACCCATTTTGTCTTTTTAATTATATTTACCTTAACTCTAACTTTTGGGAAACATAAATTATAAAACAGTTGAAAGTCCTCTATGAAACTGTTGTAAGCCATATTTGGATTGAGGGTATTATAAATTTCAGAAAATTTTATAGCATTTAGACAGCTTTTAAATTTTAATAAGTTTTGTTGACAATAATTGCGTCTAAACCTATAATATTTATCAATTTTGCATACTTTATCAGTCGGGCATTTTATTAGCTGCGCTGTATGGTCAGAAAGAGCAAACTCTATAATCTCCGTTTTGCAAGGCTTATTAAAATTATGCGCAAAGTTGTCAATACATGTATGGCTCCTAATACGAGTCGGTTGGTATATCGCAAGTTTAAGGTTAAAGTTGAGCAAAATACGTTCAAATTCAAGTGACTGGTAATTCGATTTTAAAACATTAATATTGAAATCGCCAGCCAAAACAATATTTTTATATCGTCTTTTTGTGGCTACTTGTAAAACACTATGTAACCTACTGAAAAAATCGTTCAAATTTCTCATATTTGGTACTCTATAGATACAAATAATAGCAACATTAGATTTAACAATTTCTACGGCACTGCACTCAAAAGTTTCCGGTATTGACATTCTTGATATCCTCTCTAGTTCCTTCCATTCATATCCTTTTCTGACAAGAATGCATGATCCACCTCTTTTAGTATTTTTTCTGCTGTAATGTGAAGCTAAGACATAGTTAGGTATATTTAACAGGGATTCGCAGCCTTCTGACATAAAGTGTTCAGTGATGCATATTATATCAACATCAATTCCTTTGTCTGTTAATTCATTTATACATACTGTCAAGTTGTCGGACTTGTTTATTAAACCAGCTATATTTTGATGCATTACGTATATGTGTCTAGTTTCGAAAAAGACAGTTATTGGAAGCTGTTTTCTGATTGTAAAGCATATTTACATCACTAGTGTCATTAGATTTTCCGTCAGGAGATTGTTTGTCAGTCAAAGGTATGTAAGAATATTGAAGATAGGTATTAATATTATTAATCATATCAAAAATGTCTCTAAACATTGTCAGTATTCCAAAATTATTAATTACGCCTGTACGATAATCAAACATTGTGTCGTCATAGCTTAGGTTTTGGTTTGAGTCAAAAAAATAAGCATGTTCATGAGTCAGTATGTCTAGGTATAGTAGATTGTTAAAAGTTTCAACTCTTGAATTGTATAGATTAGAATAATTTGTAAATTTATAAGTTGGCGTACATATAATTGTATTGGTGTGAGTAATTTCAAGCAGTACCTTTCTTATATGCAATATTATGTCAAAATAAATATTAGTCATCCTAAAGTCATCCTCACCCAGCAGAATTAAACAATAGTCTTTCATTGTGTAATTACTCAGCTTCTCCTTCAAATTATTTAGCATAGATTGTATATTTCCATTAGTTACTATGTAATGGCACAATTCTGAACCCTTCAGTGTCTTTTCTGCTACAGACAATATCTTATTTCTATTATTTGTGCTAAGTATACATATTTTATTTTTTGCCATACGTTCCTTTTCATTTTGTGATTTTAATAGACTGTTACATGGTGTTAGTTTTGATTGCCGGTCCTCGTCTAATAGTTTAGTATGAGGGGTAGTCTGCGTTTGTTTATTTTGTAAGACTTTGGGCATGTTCTCATTCGAATGAACAACATTTGTGTCAGCGTCACAAGATGATAAATTTACGCGCCTTGTAAGTTTTCTTTTACGTGTTGATGTGGGGGTTCTCGAGGTTGGACATTGCCATGCGTCTGATCCCAAACTAGGCAGAACCTGTACTATGGTAACCAGACTGCTAATAAGCATACTTATATATTTCTAAATACATACATATTACAGATAAATTACACCCAGACACAGAACAAGCGATAGTATTCATCATACAATATTTGTCCTCTGGCTTAGCAGTAAATAAGGATCGTTTACCACTAGACCAACGGTCTAATTCAACATTGCACAATAATTTGGATACTAGAACACAAACGACGAAACCCATTAATTTTTTCATAAATACTTATGAATATTCATGTTCTGCCAAGACCGAGACTAATGCAAATTTAACAATGCATACAAAAAAAAACTGTACCGTGTTGGCATCGAACCCATGACTGTTAATATGCAGCAAAACACACTGTAATTGTGCCAAGTAGTATAATATTATGTTATTCTGTAATTTTTTATCGCTTTTATTTCACTCGTTTTAAGTTTTAATCGTCGATGAGTAGTCAGTCTGTCGTCGACTTGTTGTAGCATTTCATTTGCAGATGTCCCCAGCGTCATGTCGGATACCTTATTTACCACCTCAGTACTTCTTTTTTTCTTTTAAGTATTGTACGTTTAACTTCTTGGTTATCAAGGGATTTAAGCATAATTTGCACTGACATCTACCAACTGGTTTTACAGAGAGTCCACAGATAAAAAAAACATATTTAAAATTTAAGTAGTAGCTTTTTGCGCGCATTTTTGTTAATCCTTCATCATTTTTTCTTGATAACAAATGGCCCCTCTGCCATGCCAGCCTATATTATATCTAATCCAGATTCGTTCAGCCATTTTGGCTTCCTTGAGTACAAAAACATCTAAACATTAATCTTTACGTAGTATTTTAAAGTTTGTCATATTATAATTTTTTATAAAATTATTATTTATGTATAATATATATATATAATTTATCATTTTATATAAAATATATGCTCATGTACTGAACATACACTTGTTTATTTGTATAGGTATGTCATTTATACGAATTAGAATATTCGAGATTAATTAGTTAATTCTATTTTAAAGGAAAAATTGACCATTTGTTTAATTAGGGTTGGCAATGGTTAATTTTACTAAAATGTACACACATTTTTTTTTAATGATAACTGGTATGACTTGATCTATCTGGTTTCGGCTTGACCTCGACATCTGGGGCACTCTATCATATATAGATTATATTTAAGAATCTTCTTTTTTTCTCTTACAGTGCGTCTGTGGACCTATCAAACCTGCGTGGAGTTTGGCTGGTACCAGACAACGACCAGCACCCGCCAGCCTTTCCTGTCGACTGTACCTTTGGAGTATTTCCATCAGATGTGCAAGGACTTCTTTTCCAGCCAGTAAGATACCACCGCCTTTGAATTTTATTTTATAATAGCTATTGACTATTAGCCGCCATTCTGTTCGCATGATTATTCCTTATTTCGTATTTCTAACTAGTTTTTTTTTTTAAGTACGCACCCTTGACTCGGGGAGCAAGCTGCGTGACGTGAGCGTTACGAAAAGTGTGATCGGGTGAGGTGGTGAGTACCAAGCAACCAGCTTTGGTCAATCGGTCGTCGCCACTGCTCCTTCACGACAACGCGCGACCCCATACTGCGCAACAGACAGTCTCCAAACTGCAAGAGCTGGGGTTGGAAGCTCTCCCTCATCCGCCATACTCACCAGACCTTGCACCTACCGGCTATTACTTTTTACAAAATTTAGACAACTTTTTAGTGGGTAAAAAATTCAATTCCCGAGAGGCAGTACAAAATGCCTTTGAAGAGTTTGTTGCCTCCCGTCCAGCTGATTTTTACAAGAAGGGCATCAATAAACTACCAATGCGTTGGTAAAGATGAGTCGATTGCATGGATGATGACTTCGAATAACAGAAATAAAAAAGTTTGAAAAAATAAATATTGCATACAAAACGGCAATTTCATAGGTAAAGACCTATTATTATAGATAAAATACACCCAGACACAGAACAAATGATCGTGCTCATCACACAAAATTTGTTCTAAATATATACATGTTTAAACATGTGCCTATATACTTTTTTACTAAAATATTGATGGAAAAATTATGGCTGTAGCAATTATATGGCAAACATACCATCTAAATTGCAATCACAATAAAATCGTGCTCCTCACTGTATTTGGCCGGCAGGAATCGTACCCACGACCTCTAGTTTACTTACACTAATCACTTCCGACCAGCCTATGGCCAGTCATTACAATAAAGTTTTGAATTATTCATCTTGTTTCCAGGATCAATGAAAGCTTGCTCCGTTCAGGAATTCGTCGCACAAACCTCTTCTTCGGTGGGCGGTACCTCCCGGACCGCGTGGTGAGCGTGGTTGGAGGCCACGACCCTTGGAGTCCCATGGGCCCAAGGGCCGCGGACGCGCATTCTCGGGCCCCAGTCCATATCGTTCCAGGGGTTTCACACTGCATGGCTATAGGGTGAGACCATTTATAAAAAAAAAACATAGTTGAGAGTGCATGCAAAAAAATTAGAGGCACACACACCAATCGAGTTCAGATTAGATATTTTATCGCGGGAGAGCTCCGCTTGGGGACATATGCGATGGCTCCACCGTCGTAATCTCTCAGTACTTTTCACCGTGTGAGTGAATTTACCGAAAACTCCGTGCTAATTCTTCGGGGGAAGGGGGAGGGGGGAGAGGGGGGCTTACAGCTCTGAGTTGCTGCCCACAGCAGCGGTAGTCACTTATTATCCCATAACTCTTATGCATGTTTCTCCATGTCATGTCCCCATATAACAGGTATTCACGGCAGAGTGCATGTTAACGCCATATACATCAGTGTATATGCTATGCAAAACTATCTAGTTTTTGTCTATGCTATTCGTGTCGCATCACTGTACATTCAGATTGTTTATTTGACATTTAAAACATACTTTTCCCCTCACTTTCAACGCGCAAGCATTGCGACACATAGAATTCTAAAATCCAGTTATTTTGGACATTAAAGCCCTGTACAAATCTTGGGAATATTCATTTAACTACGTTACCAAAACAATGCATAATCTTCACCTATCACAGACAGACAAAGAATGTCCAAAACCTCTTAAAAACTTACTTTCAAGAAGCTTTTGTTATTATGAACACTATTAATTTTTTAGTAACTAAATCTTTATTCCAAAATCCTTTGTTTATTTCTATCTTCAAAGCTACAATTTGTGCAATATTTAGCAGTCAAACTAGCTGAAATGACATCAGGATGATGTCGTCACCGTTAAAATAGTTCATTGACGTTGTTCGCTCACTGCACGGGTTCACGTTCGAGGTTATACGGATTTTTTCTCCTTTGTAAGAGGATTACAATTGTCTGTCACTATAGAAAAATATAGTAATCGTTACTTGAAATAGATAAACTTTGACACCTACTCTCACTAATAGTCATCATCATGTAATCAATTTCATCATCATTGTAAGTTAAAATCGTAATATCTTTATGAAATCTAATCATAAAATAACACTACTATAGATTTACGCTAGTGTAACTTAGTCTAATTATTGTCTAAGATCTATGTTAAACTGAAATGTCCTACACTGTAATATTTATTTATATTTATATTGGTCAAATAAATAAATTAAATTAAATTATTATATTGGTCAAATAAATAATTAGTGTAAGTGGCCAGAGGACGTTCTGTTTAAGAATAAATAAATCATCATCATCATCCTTTAATAGGTCACTGTTGGTCTTAGGGCTCTCATTAGGCAGGAGTTTTGATAAGGGGTCAGTCAACCAGGACGTGTTGAAACCAAAAACTTGCAGGGTACTTTAAATTCACCATTTAGCTTTTTTATTAGTTTTACATATCCAAAACAAAATTATAAATTGATATTTTTGATAATTTTAGTAAAAATTATTTGTCACCAAAATTCGCCATTTCTTTCGTTTTTTATAATAAATATATACCCAGTTGCATGCTCAGTAAAAACAAACCAAAATATAAGTTTAACCACACAGATCAAACAAAAACCCCTATTTTTCGGCATCGCTGCGGTCAGTTAAAACGAACATAATTAAAGATGTGACACGTGTATTTCCAGGTCCACCAATTCCACAAACATCGAAGAGTTAGAGAGCACCAAGAAACAGGTTTTAGATGAAATGTACAGCTTCCTGATGTACGGAGACCTCATCCAGATATCGGCTGCTGTGACTGCGCGGGGTTCGATTCTGCTGTCAGTCATTGCTATTTTTTATTTTCTGATATAAATAAGTTATGTGTATGTATTATAGTCAAAATTCTTAACAAGTCACTAGTACTTTTTTACCCAACGGAGCTCGTTAAAACTAGTTACTTCATCATCATCATCATCAACAGCCTATACTAGTCCACTGCTGGACATAGGCCTCTCCTTAGAAAGGAAGTTTTGGCCTACTATACCACGCTGGCCAGACGGGTTGGTATAGGGTTTGTTTCAAGTTTTCCTTCTCTTACTTATGTCTAACTAATTAAGTTGAAAAACGTTTTGTCCGAGTACGTCTGTCAAAACCATATTTTTCAACTAATTATATTTAGAATCACTATTCACCACAGTGCATCTATCCACCACAGTGTACACTGAGGATCCACCTATTTTCTGAAGCACGGCATTAAATCCTCAGCAACATTAAAGGTTTTTTATGGTACACAGGTTGATAAGTACTAACATAGTTGACGGGCCTGTTGGTCTAGTGGTTAGTGACCCTGACTGCTAAACCGGAGGTCGTGGGTTCGATTCCCACCCAGGACAAATATTGTGTGATGAGCACGGTCATTTGTTCTGTGTCTGGGTGTAATTTATCTATAATATGTATGTATTTAGAAATATATAAGTATGTTTATCAGCGGTCTGGTTACCATAGCACAGGCTCTGCCTAGTTTGGGATCAGACAGCCGTGTGTGAGTGTGTGGGATATATTATTATTATTATAGTTATTATAAGTAAAATTTTATAGACGCGTGGTTGTACACGTGGCACATTGACGTGTCATGTCAGTTCTGTCAGATATGAAAGATTGACACATTGAAAAATGTTGCCGTTATCAAACTTTACTTGATTTTTAGTTTCTTTGTGTATGTTGTTTTTAACTTTTCTTTTATTTTTGTATGCTGTGCTTTATGAAATAAATAATATTCTATTCTATTAGTCTACGAAAACCGGGCAAGCATAATTAGTTGTAACTGTTTTTTTTATCCGTTAAAATTACATTTGACGGATTAAGAGTTTTGACAGTAATATATCTATTATAATACAAAAGATATGAAACAGCAATATATTGTGTTTATTTTCCTAAATTACCCTCATCTTAATTTTTGTATTCGTGTCGAAATTCCTACCATCGCTCGTTTAGAACGTGACATTGGTATACCTTTTTTTTCTGTGCTGCAATAAAGTCGGATACTACCCACCGGTGGTTATGTCGGACTCGAACCGACCAAAAACCGCACACCGTCTCGGGTACCAGTTGTACCCTAGGAAGGAAATTCCTACCGTATCGCCATCTACGACGTGTAAATAACTCCTGTGACATTTGGTATACCTTTTTTTTTTTTCGTGCGGAAATCCTCTCGGATACCACCTATCGGTGGCATGTCGGACTCGAACCGACTAAAACCGCACGCCGTCTCGGGTACTAATAGCCGGGGAACCAGGTATACCCTAGAAAGGAAGTCCCTGGTGCCCCGATATACCTCGGGCCATCTACAGACGAGTAGACGACCTCCCCCGTGTGGGAACCCCATGTTCCCTCTGCTCTCTGGAAGCGAGCGCGCTTCGCAACAGCCTCGCCGCCACCCCGGCCTGTTTCTGCTAGGGTGACAGATGGCCTCACCTGTCACCCCCAGGCCTGCGCTTATGGAGGACGGAGGTCGCTCTGCGACCTCCGGCGCCTGAGTCGCCTGCGGTACCTAGCCCGTTCCCGGGCCTGGCGGGCTGGGAGAGTTCTAAACCTCTCCCGGTCCCGCTCCGCCGTCTCCTTCGCGAGCATAACTTGCTCGCAGAAGGAGACGGCAGAGCTCCACGCACTCTCGCTCCGCACGATATCCGCAATCAGGCTATCGAGCGAGAGAACTCTCACTCCGATGGCCGCCACGAGGTCTCGCCTCTGCTCAACCCACGCCGGGCACTCTGCCAGCGTGTGGAGAGCCGTGTCCACGGTCTGGCCATCGCAGTGGTGGCACTCAGGCGTTGGCTCCTTGCGGATCAGACACAGGTGATCCCCGAAACATCCTTTCCCAGTGATCACCTGCGTCAGTCGGTATGAGAGGGTCCCGTGACGCCTCTCGAGCCAATCCTCCATAACGGGTCTTACCGCCGCGATGACGGCGTGCCCGACATTTGCTGTACCTACAATATTACTTGAACTTCAGAAATATATTTTTTAAATTATGTGCTGAACAATTTGAACAGTATACCTATCATAACAGCAAAACTTTATGTCTAGAAGACCTATTTCTTATCGTTCCATGAATTCACGGTGCGGCTGCCTGGTCCATCGCGTGATACATGTCTACATATGTATGTCTAATGAAACAGAGAAAATTAAGTTAGTTCATATTATTATCGTATAGTAGGTATAGTTTATATATACAGTGAAACTTGGTTACGTGGGACCTGGATAAGTGAGAAACCTCCATAACTGGAACTCATGCTGAGGTCCCAACACTTAGGCACTGAATTACCTATATTAGTGGGACGAAGCAAAACCTCTATCTGGGATTCGTTCTTTGGATTTCATTGTCATAGTTGCCTCTATAACTGAGACAACGAGTGAATTTTATATGCATTAACCTCTGTAACTGAGATAACATCGTTTTGTTTGTTTACTTACTTGTTCTTATTCTACCCGCAAATGCCGCACTTAACTAATTTTAAGCCTCAATGATCTTCAGTTTTAGTTTTGCTGATACGTGATAGTAAATCATACGATTGTTTATTTGAAAAATGCCGAAACGAAGACTCAAATCGTTATCAGTACGCGGAAAACTGAACCTTACTATTATTACCTTTTTTTTTTTTTGTTGAAAATAACAATATAGGAAGCCTCTTTAAATGAGACAGATATTTAATTAAACCTAGATATCTGAGACACTGAGTAAGTGGAATACCTCGATAAGTGAGAAAAATTTGCAGGTCCCTTGATGTCTCACTTAACCAGGTTTCACTGTATGTACTGATCATTTAATTTAAGCAAGACCTTCCAAACGACATTACGAATTACGATAATAATAATTGTTAAATCTCCAGGCGATCTTTATTGTCTATTAAAACATCTGATGTTTTAATAATTAAAAAAAAAAACTTTTAACATTGGTTTGTCAACTTCAATGTGGTTAAATCATGGTAAATGGTGAATTTTCCATCTTTATGAGTAATATACTCGTATCTTCTTCAATTTTGAAAACTAACTTTGAATTGTTCAATTGGCCAAAAAGTTTATTGAAACAAATACAAAGACAAAATCTTTATTGAAAGGGTTGAATTAACAAACAAATTATAAATAAAAATTACATAGTTATTGAAGTCTGTTCAGAAATGACGAAGGCCAGCTTGGTGTAGTAGGCCAAAACCTCCTTTCTAACGAGAGGCCTATGTCCAGCAGTGGACTAGTAAAGGCTGTTGATGATGATAATGATAACGGACCTCATTTGCAACGTCATTTCTTCTGTACGCAGCTGACATAGTACTTAAAAAGAATCAAGCCTTTTTCCTCAAATTTGTCATAATAATTATGAGTCACATTTATTCAAGAGACGAATTGGTCACAATCCGATTAGAACAGGGGGAAAACGAGCAGACGAGTCACCTGATGATAAGTGATTACCAACGCCCATCGACACCTGTAACTCGAGAGATACGAGTGCAATTCCGTGATTTGAGTGCCCTCTCAGAATTAGAGTCTCCCCTTAATTAGGGAATCCGTGTGGTAGCGTATGATTAAGAATACGGAGTTTCACCACCCTTATTCATCCCGTGAGTGTCGTAAGAGCCTATTAAGGGAGTAAACTACGCAGGACAAAAGCACTGCAAAGAGAAGAAAAACTTAGAACAAACCCTATACCAACCCGTCTGGCCAGCGCGGTATAGTAGGCCAAAACCTCCTTTCTAAAAAGATGCTTATATCCAGCAGTGGACTATTAAAGGCTGTTGATGATGATGATAATGAATTAGGGAAGTGGAGAGGATGCTGGGCCTCCGTAAACCTCACTCACTCGGTAAAAAGTACCGAAATAATAGCCAAACACCGGTTTGCTGCGACACCGTGTTATTACAGAGGTAACGCCGGTAAATGTGTTGCCGGGCCTTTAAGGTAGTAGCAGGGAAGGGAGTACGCTCTTTTTTTAAAGGTTTGTATCGCTCCGGACATACTTCAGGTAATAACTAGACTGCGTACCGAGACCGTCTATACATAATTATGTAACAAACCGACTTGCATTCAAGAGAAAAGTGCGCGATCTTCTTCGGAGCGAATTGGCAGAACAGTCACAACGCTAGTATCCGACTTATTTGTACCGACCGTATTTATATACCTATTTTATTAAGTTTATGTAGGTTTATGTATGTATGTGTGTTTATATATTGTGTATATCTCTGGACTTCAATTATGTTAAATTTAATATTTTATTTTGCACCTACCGCATCATATTTCTACATCACCTGAAGGTTGACTGGGAGGTAATGTTTAATGGCATTAAGTCCGCCTTTGTACAACATGTGTATTAAGTTTTAAATAAATAAATAAATATAAGACTGCAGATTTACAACAAGTCTTCGGTATTACTTGTGTTAAGTCCTCGTCACAATAAGGATATTACCGTAACTTCCTTCCCCTTGTACAACAATCCAAAACGGTGTTTAACATTAAATTTAAAATATTACTTATATGCATTATGGCTGCGGTTTTGAAAGCAATTGTTGTATAAAGTAATTGCCTACATGGATTCGCCTACAATTATTATAATTCTGGTTAGGCATAGGTCATTAACTACTAGTGTTATTTTTTCTGACCTGTTGGTTTAGTGGTTAGTAAAACTCACTGCTAAGCAAAGTTATTGCGTCATTTGGACCTTCTTAGATCATCACTGTCTTTAATTAATTTCGATGATGTTCTGTATGTTTTGTGTATTATTATAGATATTGCATTGTAATCATAGATGCAACTGTCCCTTACCATGCCGTGGCAACTTGTAAGTAAGACAACACTCAGAAAATATTTGTAAAACATGTTTG